GCGACCATCCTGGAAACTGGCTGGACGGGGATTGTTGAGGACTACATCTGCAACTCGCTTGTGAAGGAGCAGTGGGACGAGGAGCAGACACGCCTTTTGGAGGAGATGTACAGGCGCGAGATGCAGGAGGTGTTGGGCCCGGAACAGCAGGCGTTCGGGGCCGAGGTCGACGCCAGCTGGTCTTCGCAACCACTCCCAGACCCACAGTTAAGTGTGACCTCGCCACTCGGGCAGAAGCCGAGTAATGTGGAAGTAGTACCGATGACGTACAAGGATGTGATGTGTTCCAAGTACAAGGTTTTCTGGGAGGCGGCCATGAAGAAAGAGATAGATGGCCACGACAAGACTGGAACCTTTACCAAGGTCAAGGAGCTGCCCGAGGGGCGGAAGGCCATAGGTTCAAAGTGGGTGTTCTCTTGGAAGACGAATGAGAAAGGCCTGATAGTCGACTTCAAGGCCCGTATGGTTGCGCGGGGTTTCTCTCAAATCCCGGCATCGACTTCCACCACTCATCCTCAACGTGCCCGTCTGCAGCGTCTATCAAGACGGTGATTACCGTAGCCACTGAAAAGGGCAAGAAACTCGCTCACTGGGATGTGAAGCAAGCGTACATCCACGCTAAGCTAATAGAAGAAATATACCTCAGGTTCCCGGAAGGATGTGGTAGCATGTCCGGCAAAGTGGTCAATGTTGAGCGTGCCCTGTATGGCCTAGAGCAGTCGCCGTGAGTGGGGGTTCGAACCTCCCGATGCCCTCATCGAAAATGGATACGAGCAGTGCAGGGTTGACCCGTGTGTCTTCCGGAAGGTGGTGGATGGAGAGGTCGTAGGTCTCATCGTGATCTACGTTGATGACATCTTAGTGGCGGCAGACGAGGGAGAGCGAGAGGAGTTGTTCGCTTCCCTCAACAAGAAGTTTCCGGTGAAAGATCTGGGGGAGTGTACCTGGTACGACGGGTGTGCTATCGCCATGGATGTAGAAAATGGCATCACCAAGCTGTCCCAGACAGCATACATTGAGAGTATGCTGAAGCGGTTTGATGTGACCACGACCGCTTTCACCCCTGCTGCCACCGATGCCGACCTAGGGCCGAAGAGAGATGACGAGCCCGCGGTGGACAAGCCTGTGAGGGAGGCGATCGGATGCCTGATGTGGACGAAGCTGACGAGGCCAGACATCGCCCTGCCTCTGAACAAGCTCCAGAAGATCGCCCACTCACCCACCGGGAGGATATGGAACTCGCTTGTGCGGATCATGTCCTACCTGAACTGCACGAAGGACTTCGGCATCACCTACGTACGGGGGTCAGGACTAGACCTAAGCGTGTTTGTCGATGCCAGCTACGCTGACAACGAAGTAGACAGGCGTTCTACGACCGGGCTAGCTGTGACCGTAGGTGGTACCGTACTGTGTGCATCCACCAAGACGCAGCCAGTGACGGCACAGTCGACCTTGGAAGCAGAGTGTATGGCAGCCGGGAAGGGCGTGAAGGAGGCGTTGTTTGTGCGTGGCGTTCTGTCGTTCATAGCGCCCGAGACGAGTGGGGCGAAGATCAAGGTCCTTGAGGACAACAAGGGGGCTCTCGCCTTAATCGAGAACCCGTTCAGCTCAGCGAGGAGTAAGCACATCGACGTGCGGTTCCATTTCATTCGCGAGCTATTCAAGCTNTTGGTTTATGTGGTGGTTTTAGCACTTGACAAATATGACCATGGTACGTCACGCAGGAAGCGTTGTGCCGGCGCGTCACCCGTGGCTGGAGCCTAGAAACGCCGAGAGCGTGCTTCGGGTGTTAGATCAGCGTGACCGGTTCAATCTGTCCTGACTTGGTCTTGTCTTGGAAGTGCGGCCGTTGGAATCCTCCGTGATAGCGACGGTTTTCTATATTTTGGGTGTTAGACGAGGGTTTTTGATCCGGTTGGCCGGGTTTCCCCTCGAGCCTGTTGTTGTTTTGAGTCCCTTTGGTAGATCAGGGTATCCATGCCCCACGTTAGGTTTGCCATGNGGGTGTGTAATCAGCGTGACCGGTTCAATCTGTCCTGCCTTGGTCTTGTCGTTNTGTACACCTTGACGTGGTTGCATGTGCGGGGAACCCTCGAACTCCAAAGAGGGCTTCACTTCTCCTCACTCCCCTTGCGTGTCTAATACAAGAGATAAAACGTCTTCCCCTTTCAAGTAAACGACATATACGAACAGTTCTTTCAGGTTGCCGCTTCTCGTCAGCTCAAGCCAAGGCCGCGGCGCCAGTGATGAGGCGGGGGGAGAGTCCTCGCCGGACACCGGGGGTAGTAGTGAGGGCGGAGACGGCAAGTGGAAGGAGCCGGAGAGGAGAAAGCCTGGGCCTGAGGAGGAAAGCTCTGGCAAAGGTGTGTGCTCGAAGGATGTAGTCGGTGTCGATGATTGTGCGCCCTTCTGAGAGGACTTGTGAGAGGACTGAAAACATGTACACATGTATTTCTGTTTTCATGCGCCCTCTGCGAAAAAGGGTGTAAGTATTGGATCCTGTACGATATTAGGCACCTGCACTTCGTGATGTTCCCTCAATCATGTGCCCTTGTGGCATACGTCGTGTCCGCTTCCCAATAAGTTTGCAATAGGCGTGCTTGACTGATTGTTTTCTTCGAGGCGGCAACGGTTGAGATATGCATGCAGCAGAAAAAAAATGCAGAGAACAACCTGAAAACTTCAATTGTTTGCAATCGTTAGCTTCGAATCGAATGCAGGATGTGGGATCCGCAATGCCATTTTGTACAACGAAACACAGAGCAGTGCTGTATATCGGCGGGGCGCCTCCCGTGAAGTGAGTGGCGACCCAACCCCTTCAAGTCGTGGCTAATGTACGACGTCCATCACCCTAACTCTTGTTCCGCAACTCTCGTTTGCCTTGCATTCCTGATCAGAGACAGGCCCGCGGTGGTGGACTCAGCAGGGAGAGAGGGAGCTTCTGTGGCTGCTCATACCGAAGCACTTAGCGTCCAAGCACTCGGCCAAGAAGGATAAGGATGACGAGTGGTGGGAATGCCCACAGGCCCTCTCGAAGAAGGTCGAGATGACAGCACGGGTCGAGGAAGTGCAAAAGGACGGCAACCTGGAACTCGTCGCGAAGAAGGTCACAGTCGACATGGGGAGGAAGATGGAGGTGGGTGGACGCTGCGGATATTTTTTTGTATTTCGGATTGCGGTTCGATCTTGAGCTCCATCAAGCTTAACTCACCCAACTTAGTGCTTGCTTAGGATCACGTACGCGGCGAGTAGGATAAGTCTTCAGCATCCGAGACAATGACAAGTTGACCCTTTTTTTGTTGACGGTACCTATGAAGCCAAATAAAGCGCTGTGGGGGGCGGGGGTGGGTGGGCTATAAAGAAGGCCTCCGCGTCAGGAACGAATGCAAGATATATGAAAACGGTTGCGAAACAACCCATAACCTAACCACCTTGAAATGTAGCTGTGTGTGATCCCGTTGTCGTCTAGTCGCACAAACGGTGCCCATTTCACAAGGCCGCCTAACGACACTTGTTACTGTTGTTCCTGCCTATCGCCGAAGTATTCGCACGAAAACGCTGGGTTATGAGCGATAAGAGCTCCCCTACCCCGTGTTTCTCAGACAGTGTTTGGATAGCCGTGGCGGACATAATATGGTAACGATAGCATTGTCGTTCGAGAGACTCGCCCCCCTTGATTTTTCCCGTTCGCACCGATGTCATAGGGACTGTCGCGGGAGGTCATCGTGGAAGAGCTGAGGACCATCTTCAGCGCTCACCGGACGGCATGGAAGAAGAGGCAGGAGGAGAAGAAGAGTTTCAGCGGCGAGAGTGACGATGGTGATGACGACGGAACGGAGGTGAGGTTGCAATGCACGACAGGAGACACCCATGGTTAGTTTTGCGGTGGAAGTCCCATGTCCGACACGTGCGTGCTTCCGCCAGTGAGATTAGAATCTCCATCCCCCTCTTCCCGGGAAACCTAAGGCTGTCACATTATTGTTCGCCTTTGAATATGGTTAGTGAGTTTGCCTTCCAAGAAGATTCCAGGAACCGTCCAGTATTTGCCTACCACGACCAAATCAGGCCCCCGCCTTATGGTAACGGGTTAGTGCGCTTTCATCTCCCCCCCCTTCCCTCCCTCCCGGTGTTTGCCATCGGGATTGGGTTTTCGTCGCTTGGCAACGACGTTGTAAAACAATCCAATTCACTTCGTGAACTCGGCAACCAGGTTACCTTTTTTTTTTTACCTCCGTTTTTTTTTTTGGCGGTAACCATAATGGTGGTCGAGTAGATCATGTTGTGCGGGGTGGAGAACCCTCACTCCGCGCAAGGGGGATGATCGCACCACGTTGTGTTAAAATGGTCA